TGTCTCTACCTCCAGCCCTTGGCGTCCAATGGTCCTTTTTCTGACCCTTTTCCAAAAGGCCATATGAATGGAATCATGTAGTATGAAGTCTCTTGAATCTAGTTTCTTTCCTTTAGCATAAAGTATTTGATTTTCACCCATATTATTGTTTATATAAGAAGCTTGTTCATTTTATTGCTGAGAAGCATTTTATAGTATAGTTGTACCTAGTTTGCTTATCCATTCGACAGCTAGGGGACATGAGAATTGTTTCCAGATTGAGGAGATTACAAATAAAGCAACTATAAACATTTATTTTGAACAATAATTTTATTCCACAATTTGTCTGAAACAAATTTATTAAGAAACACCTCAAAAGAATGGAGAAAGGACTGAGGAACAGGGCAAGGGGGCGTATCCCAGGGGAGCAATCTCTGATGTCTTCTGCAGGTGGGAGCAGAGGAGACTCCTGATGGTCCAGGTAGATGCAGAAGTGCTCTGGGCTGGAACCCATGCAGAGACACCTGAGGTGGTTGGCACATCTTGTTCCTCTAGATGTTAAGAACAGAGCCATAAGGATCTTCTTTAGCATGTGTTTAAGAACTCTTATCCTCAATACCCTCAAAGTCACAAGATAAGAAAGATTTTCTTTCTTTCTTGTAGTAGTTGTATAATTTTACATTTTCGGTCATGAATCCACTTACAGATAATTTTTGAGTAGGCTTTAGTGCACAGATCAAGGATTTTCAAGCTTATTGGTTGTTTTTTATGTATATAGATATTCAATTGTTTCCACACACTCTTTTTTGGGAAAGACTGTCTTTTCTTCCTTGGATTATCTTTACACCTCCAGCAAGAAACAGTTGACACACACAGGATGGTCTGTTCCTGGGCTCTATGCTGCTCCGCTGCTGTGCATGTGTGTCCTTTCCCCAGGACCATGCAGCAGCTTTCTAGACTCCAGAACCCAATACAATCAGTCTTTCCAGTTTGTTCTTCTCTTCCAAAATAGTTTGGCTATTCTTGTTCTTTCATGTGTCTATAAAGAAATAAATGTAAACCAACTTGATACCACCACCCAAAATTTTTATTTTCTGCAGGAAATTTGATTGGAATTTTGTTGAATCTATAAACCAATGTGCAGAGAATTGACAGACTTAACAATATCAAGCTTTTCAATCCATAAACCTCAAGTATATCATACTATTATTTATTTAGTTCTTCAATTTTTTTCCTCAATGTTTTGTTCATTACATGCAGATGCTGCACATATTTAGTAAGATTTATGTCTAAGTATTTCATGGATTTTTTTAGTGTTATCATAAACAATACTATTTGGGGGGGGGGCAGGAAGTGGAGATTTAACCCAGTGATGTTCTAACACTGAGCTTAATCCCAGCCATTTTTACTTTTAATTGTGAGACAAGGTCTTGCTTAGTTGTCAAGGCTGGACTTGAACTTGCTATCCTCCCTCCTGAGTTGCTGGGATCACAGATATATACCACCATGCCTGTATTTAAAATGATACTTTACAAAGATACATTTAAGCTTTAATTTATTTTTATATATTGGTCTTGTAGCCTATGATCTTGCTAAACTTTTTTTTTTAGTTCACGTATGTTTTATAGGAGTTTTGTTTTGGCATTTTCTATAAAGACAACCATTTCATCTCCAAATAGGAATGTTTTTTATTTCTTTCCTTCTTTTTAAATTTGTATGTCTTTTATTCCCTTTTCTTGCCCTGCTGTAGTATCTGGGATCCCCAGTACAACGTGGAACGGGAGAACAGACATCCTGCCCCTGCGTCTCATCTTAGGGGGAAAGCTTTCAGTCATTTGCCATCAAAAGTAATGCCAGCTGTATGCATTTCTGTATGCAAATGCCCTTTATCTCATTGAGTCATTTCCTACAGTCTCTAGTTTGTGGAGAGCTTTTATCAGAAATCGACATGTGTCAGTCATGTTTTCTTCACTGGGACAAAATTACGTAACATGAACAACTTAAGAGGAGGAGAGACCTGGGCTCATCAGCTCCGAGTTCTCAGTGGATGGTCTGCTGGCTCCATTGCTGTGGGTCTATGAAGAGGCAGAGCATGATGGCAGAGAGGACATGGTGGGGCAGAATTGCTCAGCTCACTGAAGGCAAGAAGCAAAGAGAGAGAGGGGAGGGGGTTAGGGACAAGGAACAGACCCCATGGGCATGCCTCCAAGGACCCACTCCCTTTGCTCAGGGGCTACCTCTCACAGCCTGCACCTCTGAACATTGCTGCCTTGGGAACCAAGCCTTTCCCACAGGAGACTGGGGGCACAATCCAGATGCAAACCTAAGAGACATCAGTGTTGTCAAAACATTCATTCTGCATCTATTGTGATGCTCATATGTTTTTTCTTCATTCTGTTGATATGTAAATTACATTGCTTGATTTTTGCATGTTGAACCCAACTTTAATTCCTATAATAAATACCACTTGGACAGATGTGTTGAACTTTTTGTATGTTCCTGGATTGCATTTGTTAACATTTTGTTCAGAATATTTACAACCATGTTTGGGAAGGATCTTAGTGTATGACTTTATTTTCTTGTGAGGTCCTTGTGTGGGTATATGAGGACAGTGCTTGTTTCATACAATGAGCTGGGAAATTTTTTCCCCCTATTCTTTATTCTGAATGAAATTGTGTAAAATCCGTATTATCTGATTCTTGCTTGTGGGTATAATTTGCCAGCAAAGGCATCTCGTTCTATAAATTTATTTTTGTCTGTAAGTTGTGATTTGGGGGTTGAACCTGGGGTGCTCTATCACTGAGCTACACTCACAGTATTTTTCAGTTTTTATTTAGAGACAAGGTTTTGCTACATTGCCAAGGCTTTTCTTAAACTAAGCCTCAGCTTCCCCAGTCACTGGGATTTATGAAATGTACCCCCATGCCTGGCTTTTGTGTTTTTTATAAGTGTTTTAACTAGAAGTTTAATTGTTTGAGGAAAATATACAGAACTGTTCTTGTTATCTAATTTTTCCTGAATGTGCTTTGGCAGTTTGTGTCTTTCAGTGATTTGTTCATTTGTCTAACTTGCTGAGTTTTTGGTCGTACACAAGTTTCTATGTGTCCCTTATTATCCTTTATAGCCATTCTCTCATTCCTGATAGCTGTTTTTTGCTGTCCTGGGGATTGAACTCAGGGCCTTGAGCACAGTAAGCAAGCACTCTACCACTGAGCTACATCTCCAGCTCATTCCTGATATTTGTAATTTGTGTTTTTCGTGTTTGTTTTCTTGGTCAATTTTTATTGATTTTTTTTTCAATTAATAGGTTTTGGTTTGTTGATATTTTTCTTTAATTCTCTTGTTCTGGGTTTCATTGATTTCTGCTTTTTTCCCTTTCTTATGTTGCTTTTGGTTTAATTTGTTTTTGTAGTGCTGGTCTACTGGCACTGAATTCTCTGTTTCTATTTATTTAAAGTCTTTTCCCCTACTTTTTTGTTCATTTGGTTTTTTAAATGAAATGTAGTGACATTTAGTACATTTGCAATGTTGTACAATTATCACCTCTGTCTAGTTCCAAGATATTTTCATCACCCCTACAAAAAACCTCATAACCATTAAAACGTCACCTTTCATTTCCTTTCCCTGTAACCCCTGGAAATTTCTAGTTCACTATCTGTCTCTTAGATTTACATCTTCAGGGTATTCCATATAAACAGTATTATAGATATCTAATACCTTGTGTCTGGCTTCTTTAACAAAGCACAATGTTTTCAAAGTTCACAGATATTGCAGCAGGTGTCAGTACTTTATTGGTTTTTATGGTTAAGTGATATTCCATTGTACAGGTACACCACATTTTGTTTATCCATTTGTCAACAGTTTTCACCTCTTCCCTACTGTGTATAGTGCTTCTTACGGTTTAGATATAAGTTTTTCCCCAAAAAGCTCATGTGTTAGACAATGCAGGAATGTTCAGAGGTGAAATGATTAGAATATGAGAGCTCTACCCTAATTGGTAGATCAATCCATTTTATGGATTAATAATTTAAATGGATGACTGGGTGGTAACTGTAGGCAGATGGGGCATGGCTGGAGGAGGTCACCTGGGGCATGCCCTTAGGAGTTGTATTTGTCCCTAGCTCATTGCTTTCTCTCCCTCTGCTTCCTGGCTTCCAGGAGCTGAGAAGGTTCCTTCTACCACACCATTCTGCCATGATGTTCTGTCTCATCTTGGGCCCAAAGCAATGGAATTGGCCAACAATGGACTGAGACCACTGAAACTGTGAGTCCCGAATAAAATTTTCTCCTCTAAGTTGTTCTTGTGAGATGTTCTGTTTACAGCAATGAAAACCTGACTAGCACAATGCTGCATTGAACATTCTTCTGCAAACATTTGTTTGAGTCCCTTATGGTTACACTTAAGAGCAGAACTGCTGTGTCATATGGTAAATCTATGTTTAACCTTTTGACAAACCATCCAACCAATTACCACAGCAACTGCACCATTTGACATTTCTACCAGCAATGCACAGTGTTCCAGTTTTTTTTCATATCTTTACCAATACTTGTTAATTTCTGATTTTTTAAAATTATGGCCAACCTAGTAAATGTGATGCTATCTCTCATTGTGTTTTGGTTTGCAATTCCCTAGTGACTAATGATGTTTAGTATCTTTCCATGTAATGTTGATCATTTCTATGTCTTCTCTGGAGAAATGTCTATTCAAATTTTTGTCCATTTTTAAATTAAATTGCTTGACTTTTTGTTCTTGAATTGTAAAAGATGCTATCAGTTACATTCCATGCAATATCTATATAAAGAGATATACAATATAGAAGTATGTAGAGATATAAATAGATACAGATATAGATACACATATTCTGGATACTTAGCCTTTATTTTATTTTATTTTTAATAAAAAGAGTCCCACAGCATTTATTTTCATCTGGTAATAACATAGTTCATCAAAACAATGTGAACTAATGCTTTAGAACCATATTCCAGGCAAAGGGCAGCTAAATTAAAAAAAAAATTGTTGCTTTCTCTGTAATTTATCACTTCATTGATCATTTCTAGTTGGAGACACTTTGTAGCAGAGTAATATCATCTCCTTTTAGCATGATCCGACCCAGCTGTTTTCTTGACTTTGTTTTAGAATGAATCTCTTCTGCATCATCTAATACAAGGTTCATGTATTCATCGAAACCAATAATACAGCCCTCTATCTGCATATTCACTTGCTCATAGAGCCACACCTGAATCCGGGATCTGTTTTGCAAGTATCTGAAGATGAGGTTAATGGGCTGCACCATCACCTTCTGGACCTTCTGGCCCTGGCCACGGTACGCCATGGTGGAATCTCACAAAGACCACACGAACCAGCACGTTACCTCAGAGAGCACTTAGCCTTTATTAGATATATGATTTCCAAATATTTTCTTCTGTCCTGTGTTATCTTTTCATTCTGTCAACAGTGTTATTTGATGTATATTCAACTTTGATAAAGTCTAATTTATCTATTTTTTTCTTTTTTTAGCTCCATGTTTGGTGATACAGCTAAGAAATCTACTAGTTCAAGGTCTTGAATATGATCTATGATTTATTCTAAGAGTTTTATAGTTTTATCTGTTATATTCATCCCTTTGTTTCTTTTTCAGTTAATTTTTCTATATGGTGCAAAGTAATGGTTGAATTTCATTTTTATTTTTATTTTTTGCATTTAAATGCACAGTATACTTAGTACCATTTATTGAAAGAAACATTCTTTTATCATTAAATGACCTTGCCACCCTTGTTGAGAATCAATTGACCATAGTTGCAAGGTTTGTTTTGTTTTTTACTCTCAGTTTGATTCCAATGATCTTTATATTTGATTTTAGTTCAGTCTGGACAGTTTTGATTTCTGTGGTTTTGTAGTAAATTTGAAATTGGTAAATGGGACTCTTCTAATTTCGTTCTTATTTTTGAAGATTGTTTTGATATTCAGCCTCCCTTGAAATTCCATATGAATTTGAAAATTAGCTTTTCTATTGCAGCAAAAAATGACTGGTGTGATTTTGACAGGTATTGCCTTGAATCTGTGAACTCGCAGAATCACATCTTGATGGTCAAAGAACTCTGCAGCTTTCCAGTCCTGACAGATTTCCAATCAAAGTTTCCTTGGTCATTCTTGCATTTTCACAATGCATTTTGAAAATTGTAATAAATGACAGCAGATGTAACTGAGAAGCATCATGTTACCTCCCCCTTCCACCCCAATGGAGACCACTTGTGAGATAACAAGGAGCTGATTTCCTTCTGGTCACAGAAGAAAGTCCCTCTGTCCAACTGTGTATATTTGAAGCTCTGATTGCAAGTTGAGCTGCAAAAAAAGAAAAAAAAAATATCACCCTTGGTAGCTGCTTTGATGAGATTTGGGAATTTCCTCAGGATTGTGCAATCAAATCAAAATACAGAAGTATGTTGCATACATAGACCTATTCACATTTGCAATGATCACCCATTTCAAAAGTTTTGTTTTTTGTTTTTCTTTCTTTTGGGGGTACTGGTGATTGAGCCCAAGGGCACTTTGCCACTGAGCTTTATCTCCAGCCCTATTTTGTTTGGAGACTTTTTGCTAAATTGTTGAAGGTCTCATCAAGTTGTAGAGACTGGCCTTGAATTTATGGTCCTCCTTCTTCAGCCTCCAGAGAAGCTGGGATTACAGGTGTGCTCCACTGTTCCTGGCACTCATTTCAAAAGTTTTGTTTTTATCAATATCTTCACTTAGCTCCAGTTGACTTTAAGTAAATGCATTAAGTTTGAATATAACCAGTAAACTGATAATAATAAACAGTCTCCTTTGAGCTTTATGTATATCTGGCTGAAAAATAAGCTTTAGTGTGAAAACATAGCAGTTGTGCGCTTGTCAAGTAAACATGACAGTGTTTAACTAAACCATCCTGACAGAGGTGGGGTCTCATTAGTCCTTGTGACAGTCCTTTGAGGGGGGTGTTGGTTCACAGATGGGGAAGGGGAGGCCCAAGGAGACTAAGTACCTTGCCTGCAGTCGGAGGCAGGAAGAGGACCCAGGTGTGTGAGGCGCTGACTCTCAGCTGTCATGCCCACGACCTTTCCCACATTCAACTTGTTTATTGGCCCCGTGGCCCTCATGGGAAGCCTGAGGGCCCCTGGGGCCTGTGCCCACGCACCCTCCCCTGCAGGCCCCATCTACATCATCACCGAGTACTGCATCTATGGCGACCTGATGGACAACCTGCATCCAACCCATAGCTTCCTGCAGCACCCCTATATCATCCCCCTGCCTGACCCCAAAACAGAGGCTGCTGATGAGGGTCTGCTGGAGGGTTCCCCCAGCCTCGCCAGGTAGCCACCCTGGCTGGGACCTGGGGCTACAGGGTGCACAGAGTGTGGGTGTGTCTGCGTCAGGCTTGACCCAGCAGCCAGTTCCCTGGGGTGAAGACTTATTCCTACAGGTGAACAGAGGGCAGAATGGGGCTCTCTTGACCTTTGAGCCCTCAGGTGGGAGGGGCAGGCTGCATAGAAAAAGGATGGGCGGGGCTATCCGAAAGAGAGCTCCTTCCTTGAGGGGAATCCCACAGTTGCCCTCTCTAGGCCCTGTCCTAGCCCCTCGGGGAAGGAAGGAACCTACTGAGTGTCCCCAGCATGCTGAGGAGTGACCACCTGTGGGGTCCCAGCCAGCCTTAGGCTGTGCTCCATGCTTAGCACTGTGCCCAGGGGGCCCTGCAGCCTGGCTGTAGGAGGCAGAGGTGGCCCAAGGTCAACCCAGAATGCAGACTGGGAAGGAGACTCATGTGCTCTTCTGTCTTGGGGTGGGATGAGGTTTAAGTCCAGGGAGGGCTTTGGAGGGAGGTCCGCTGGAGCCCGGACTTGATGTTCAGAGATCACCTGCCTCAGCTAGAGAGAGGGCTCCCCAGAGGCCAGAGCCACCCACCCCAAACAAGATCCAGCCCCAGGGGAGGTGGCAGGAGTCCTAGGCTGGGTTCTAACTCCAGCTCTCCCACCATGAGCCCTGGCAGGCTTTGTCCTGTGAACCTCGGATTTTCCACATGTGCTGACAGTGCACACAGGCCCCTGGGGACCCTGAAGGCCCTTTTCCTTCTGTCAATGAGACTAACATTCCAAGACCTGGGTAGACAGGACAGGATTCAGCCCAGAGTTCCAACAGCTTGAGGCGTGAATGCTGGCCCTGTTTTATGCCCTTGGACAGCTGCTACACCTCTCTGAACCTCAGTTTTCTCTTCTATTAAATAAAAACAGTAAAAGTCCTTCTATTAGGGTCTTTCCTTGAGGATTAAGTGAGATAATGTCTCAGAATATAGAGGATGGAGATGCTGGGAATGGGAATTGAAGTGTGGGGCCAGCTGAGCCTGCTCCAACATCCCAGCCCCTGCACATGCCCACGGTGTGAGGTAGGGCAATGACATGACCTCTCTGAGCTGCTCTTGTCTCCTGGCTCAGGCCTTATGGGGTCTTTAAAGGATTCAATGAGCAGAAGTGTGCAAAGCTGGGTTCAAGAAATCCCTCAGCGCCTGCTGTGGCCCAGCCCTCACCCACTTGCCTTCTTCCTCCAGCTCCATCCTGAATGAAGCCACCACCTCCTCTACCATCTCCTGTGACAGTCCTCTCGACCCCCAGGAAGAACCAGAGCCAGAACCCCTGCCCCAGCCCCAGGGGGAGTCCCAGATGGAGCTGGAGCCACCAATGATGCAGGCTGCCCCGGGCCTTGGGCCGAAGCAGAGGACAGCTTTCTGTAGGGGCTGGCCCCCACTCTGTGCCACCAGAAGCTCCCCTTCTGCCACCAGGCCACAGCCCCCGGGCCTGGCATCCTGTGAGCCATGCTGCTCCTGCCAGCTGTCCCATGTGGAAGGCTTCTGTCCCTGCCACACTGCTCCCCAAGCCCTGGGGCTGGCTCAGGAGGCCAGAGAACTGCAGGACCATGCCCAGCCTCTGCCTCAGGGAGGCCATGTGACTGAGCCACGGTCCCTCCCAGGGGACCCAGTTTCCCAGTGCACAAGATGAGACATTGAACTTGGTAGTTCACAGTCTACCTGGGAGTCTCCCTGGCTGACAAGGCTGGAATCTGGGGATCTTCCTGGGGAATGAGGGGGTCAGTAACCACTCTATGTTCAGCCAGCTGCCCCTCAAGGAGTCGCAGGCTTGTCCCCACACTTCCATCTGCCCAGGAGCTGGGGAAGAAACCCCAGCACCCCTGGCTCCTGGCTGAGCTGGGCCTGCCCTGGCCACTGTTGCTTTGCTCTGAAGCCACGTCCCCTGACATCAGTCTCTGCTTTCCCAGGCCCGAGCAGGTCTGGGCCAGCCATGCTTAATTAGTGCTGTAATTATTGCTGGGACTGAACCAAGTACAGCACTCCCCAGCCTGCAGAGCCAGCCCAGGGCACTCGGGGAACACTGGCTGTGGACAGTGCCCATGTCTTCCAGGCCCCTTGTGTTCTGAGGCTTTTTCTCATGGTCTCTTGTTGCAGGCCCAGCGGATCCTGCATCTGAGACAAATGTGTTGATGTGCCATCATTATGTCCACATGTGTACACCAGTAGGTAGCCCTGACTCTGCATTGGACTTGCTGTGACCTTGGAGGAATCCCTTGCCCTCTCTGGGCCTGTTTTCCCATTTGAAGAATGAGCAAGTTGGACTCATTCACTCTGAATGCCCTGTCAACACTAATATTCTGGAATATTCCTGGGGTTTGCATGCTTGTCCAGAGAAGGCAAGGTCAAGTACCCTAAACCACGTTCTTGAGGGGCTTTGGGGAGATTCCAGATGACACATGACACCCGGGCATTCAGGAACGTGACCCTTTCTCTGCCCCAAATGCAGCTGTGTGGACCTTGACTTGGAGTGACAGTCAGTGCTCAGGAAAGCCCCCAGCAGCTGCTCCAGGGACACAGGAGGACCACGAGACCCCCTTGAGCACCCACGATGAACTCTGGAGGTATCCTGGGCAAGGGGGCAGGGAGGGAGGTCATTACCTCATGCAGCCCAACACTGCCTCCAAGGTATGTGCCACAGAGAGAATGGACAGTAAGGAAGATTGTGTCCCATGAAGGACAATAGCCTTAGGTCAGCACCCAGGAAAGGGGCACAAGAGGAGGGCACAAGAGGGGATTGCTTCCTTAACTGACACCTGCCCCATCCTGGAGGCAGTACCTGGTGGAGTAGGGTCTTGTCACTGCCCAGGTCTGTTAGTGACACCTCACTGTCCTAAAACCAGTGGGCATTGGTGGTGCCAGGTCAGTGAGGGATTTGGCCTCTACCCTCAGGAGGGAAGCGATGGCAAGGGGTTGAGGCAAGTTCAGCCCTCCTGGGCACAGTGCCTATGCTGGTGGTGTCTCCCAACCCCAGGGCTCCAGAGCA